AGTAGCATTCGCGACGCGGTCCGCGGATGGGGGCTGGGCCCCAGACGTCCAGGTGCAGGGTCTGGAGGGGTGCGGTGGCAGGACGAAGCGAGGAGTGAGGAGCACGGCACAGCCGACCCTCGACGTAGGGCGGGCATGGCAGCATAGGCGAGGGAGGGAGGGCAGGAAGCAATGCAGGGAGACCTAGGACGAGACTGTGCTGGGACATGTGACGAAGACGTGGGAGTGCGGGGTGACCTAGGCGGTGGTGCCACAGAAGCGACGGGTGAGTGAGCCACCGACACGAGCACGCAGTGGCGACCTGGGTAGACGCGGACCCGTGGAGGCTGGTCCACCTGGGGGGAAAGCAGTTTCCAGCATAAAGAGGCCAGACACCGAGTCCCGGGGGAATGTCACAAGGGGGAGAACCTAAGGTGGCCTCGGTACAGATGGCATACCAATCATGACGCGAAATTGTAGTGGTGACGCCGAGGTCCTGAAGACAGCCGACACCAACAATGTTCGGGGAGAACGAGGGGATGTGCAGGCCTGTGAGGGAACCTGAGGGAACCGCTGAACAGTGAAGGGTAGTGTAGCTGCGAGCAACTACAGGACCAGAGGAGGGGTCTGCAAGTGTGACAGCAGCAGGTACGGCAAGCGGCGTAAGCGCAGCGTGGTCACGTAAGAAGTAGGCAGACGCACCGGAGTCAAGTGTGAAGGACAGCAAAGCGGTAGCGGCGGACAAAGGAGGAGCAAAGGTAGAGCCTAGACTAGACAAAGCAAGCGATCCTATGCCTGATGCAGCAGGGGTGTCTGTACTATACACAGGTGCTACGCCTAAGCTAGAGAACACAGGGTTATAAGATCCGGACACACTAGAAGCGCCAGCATACAGAGAATGCAGGGTAGAACTCATCTGATCCATGTCTAAGTCAAAAACAGGCACACCGTGGCGCAGCAGACTAGGCCAGTCAGGGAGGTCTGGGGCCGGCCCGAAGCGGCGATGGAAGGGGTCGTTGAGGTGGCAGAAGCAGCGAGCGGTCGGGTGTCGGCGGCGGCATTCAGTGCCACGGAGGGGCCCGCCGCAACACCGCTCAACTGAGCGATGGTGTGCTGGCGATTTTCATCTCAGAAATGGCAGTGACAAAGTTGTTCAGGGTGAGGTCACTAGGGTGCTGGCTAAGGAAGTGGTCACGGGCCGTGGCTGGGCGGTCAGGCAGGTGCATGGCAATAAGGTACAGGGAAGCGCAGAACGGTGGGGGGAAGGCAGTGAGCTGGGCGGCAGTGCTGTCAGCGCGGTAGCTAGTCTCTAGTGGACAGAGGTGAGTAGCGAGGTCAGCGACAGTGGGGAAAGCGGAAAAATTGTGGAATAGAGGCCTTGGCGGTGCGTAAGAGAGGGGAGGATCAAGCGGCCAGCAGAGGCAGAGGCAGGTGTGGAGTAGCACGCAACTACGGCATTGAGGAAATCCTTGGCGTTCGCGACAGCTGTGTAGTGTGCATGGGAGGCCGGATGCACGTGAGGGGCGAGCGGGCGTGGGAGGGACCGTCGCGCACGAATGGCCGGCGAGCAAGTGAGGGGCCGGAGGGCACAGGAGGGGCCGGCGGGCGCGTGAGAGGCCGGCGCGTGCAAAGGGGCCGGCGAGTGCGTGAGAGGCCAACGAGCACACGAAGGGCCGGCGGGCGCGTGAGGGGCCGGTGAGCTCAAAGGGCCAGCGAGGCGCATGGTGGGCTAGGCAGATGCGTAAGGGGCCGGGCAAGCGCGAGGGGCCAGCTAGGCGCCAGGGGCCAGCGGTGCGTAAGAGAGGCCAGCTATGTACGAGGGTCCGGCACGGAGCAGCGCGGGGTCGGCTAGGCGCGAGGGGCCAGCGGTGCGCGAGGGGCTGGCTAGGCGAGAGGGGCCGTCTAGGTGCGCGGGGACGGCTCGGCGCGAGGGGTCGGCTAGGCGAGAGAGGCCGGCTAGGTGCGAGGGGCCGGCTAGGCGGCAGAGGGCCGGCGAGGTGCAAGGGGTCAGCTCAGCGCGAGGGGCCGTCACAGCGCGAGGGGCCGTTACGACGCACTTGGGGCCGACTAGGCGCGAGGGGCCGGCGGGGCACTAAGGGGCCGGCATGGCACGTAAGGAACGGTGGGCACGCTAGGGGCCGACGAGGTGTGCTAGGGGTCGGCGGTACGCTAGGGGCCGGTGGGCGCGCTAGGGGCCAGCAAGGCGGTAGTCTTGGGCTAGGGGTGAAAGCTGGTGGGCGGACCTAACCTACTCATGATACCATGTTAGAATACAGGAATGATTGGTAACAAGAGAGAACAAGGGAGATATAGGGTTGGATATAACTTCTACATACAAACATATGTATAAGTTGACAGCCTCCTCCACGTGCATGGACCCGAACATGATGGAGAAATTCTTCTCCTTCATGTCAACCTATGAGCAGCCCTCGGCACCTGCTCAATTAGCACACAGCAACAACAACAGCGGAGCAGTCCCCATGAGTCTCGACGGTGCATCATACGCAAGAGGCGTACAACCTACACAACATCAATCGTACCAGCCTTCGCCAGGATCGTTCACCTTCCTACCGACTCCCGCGCCGACAGTGGACTCAACGACAGCTGACAAGCAGTCAGACATCGTCACCTTGAAACAACAGTTAAACAACGTCCTAAAACTACAAACGTCCTTACCTTTCAACGGGTAGGACTTCTTCGCCTGGAGTTTCGAGTTCGGTTGCTGATGGACGACGCGCAAATCCTTGGCTTCTTCGCCGGCTCCTGGCCATTTCCTGTAAATGGGACTACTCAAGAGAAAAATGTCTACACTTATCAGTTGCTGATGGCCTTCACCATTCTCTTACGCAACCTGACAGCCATGGAGCAGCAAAGCATCAGGACATATCGTAACTTCGGCAACTCAGCAAAACTGGCATATTGCCACCTAAAGAGCGTCTACCAGGCAACTGACAGCATGACACAGGGCCAACTGATGGCACAACTCACGACAATCCAGATGCAACCAGGAGAAAAGGCAATGACTTACATCAATTGCTGGAGAGGTTTACGCGACAAGCTTCTACGAAGCGGAGGACATTTATCGGAGGACTCGTTCGTCACAGTTTTCCTTGCTGGCCACGGTCCCCAGTGGCATATGACGCACTCCCTCCTACGCGCTCACGGGAGATGCACTTGTGCGCGGAGCTCCATGCCGAGCAGCATAACATGGACCTGTACGAAGAACGTCATGCAAAGAAACCGAGTCAGCAACTCGCGTTCTACGCAATGATGACAATGCGGAGGTGAGTGTCGTTTCTGTAGGTGTTGATTGTTGTGGTTATGCACGTGTGCAGGAGCAGCAGCAGCCACAGTTCTCACTGTATCAATCTCGAGTGCCACGTCCGTCACCGAGTCCGGTCGCCTCAACCCAGAAGCGCACATCAGCTCCGACCAACCGCTCTGCACAAGATGCAAGAAACGTCGTCAGTTGCATGGCACGAACAGATTTTTGCGTACCCGACTCCCCGCTTCACATCGATCTCGACGAACAACCCCCGGCTCCGACACAAACCTGGCTCCAGCCGAACTCGACTTACGCTGCAATCGCTCGCGACCAACCATCCGGCCGCGACACATGGTTTCTTGATACCTGCTATGGAGAGCACATGTGCTCTTCGATGCGCTTCGTCCAGCGAGAAAAGACTCAGAGCCGAGAAGTTGTCATCACTGTCGCCAATAACCAGAACCTGCACACAAGGAAGGCATCATTCAGTTGCAATCCAGCAAAACAAACGTGATACTACAAATGTCACGCGTACTTGTTATTAACAATCTCGGCTACAATCTACTAAGTGTCAGCCAGCTAATGTCGAAGGGTATTCACCTGGGGTGCAATAGCTTCGATTGAGAGTTCTGACTCTATTACAGGAAGGGTGGCCTCTTCATCGGCAGAGCCATCCAAAAGCACAGAGTCTTCATCTTGGACTTTGTTCCAAACCGCGGGACCGCCGACAGCGATGGCGTCGTCTCCTTCGCGCCATGGATGCACCCGCCGGATCTTGACCCTGAATTCGACCGCGATGGCTTCTGGTACTCCAACACCATCCCTGAAGTAGAGTGCACACGAGCCTTAGCAGTAATTGTTAGGATTAAGAACGGAGTCTAGGTGAACTTAGGAGCTAGAATTACTCAAAATATATATCCGAAATTCTGGACAGAAAAGTCGTCTTCACAAGAAACGACGTCGACGCAAAACTAGCCTTTGGAATGTCGCGAAACTCGAATACGTTGTAGCTTGTAATCTTAGCTACCGTTCTCAATTTGAATCACATTGATTGATGGAGTATTCGCGACGCTATGTCTTTCGACGCACTGGGGGGTAAGCTGTAGGAGGAGAACTTAACTCAATCTCAAAAGTTCAATCAAAGTTCAAGAATCTCACAAGGAAATTAGAGGAGCAAGAGAAAGGTTAGGATAGAAGAGAGGGATGAGAGGGAATGTCCTAAGAGAGTCCCCAACCAAGGAAACCCCATAAGCACAAAGATTCCCCCCCTATAGGAACCCCAACTTTGACATTTGTCCCTTCCCAACCAATCCATCCAAGTTGGCCACCCTTGCCAACCTAGCTTGGTTGTTCCCAACCAATTTGCAGCTGTTACAGTAGAGTGACAAATCTCCCCAGCCCCAAAGGTCCCAAATCCATATTGAGTCACCCCACAACTTCACTTTGTAACCGCCGCAATTGTAACGCAAGCTCATGAACTTTGAATCTTCATAGCTTTCGCGTTCTTGCTCCGATTGAAGCGATTCTTGTTGCGTCGGAAAGATCTTTTCAAGATCTATCATCTCAAATACCTGCTCAGACAGAATAACACAAAACACATTCCCAAACTCCAGAACACACACCACACAAATTCTTTCACACACAGTCAAACCATACATGCGAATTGAAACAAGGGATGGGAGGCAGACAGAATATGATAGCATATAATGACATTACACAACAATCTCCCCCTTTGGCTGCCAACCATCATCCACCATACCAACATCTCAAGCATGCATACTCAATGCACACTCGTCCCAGCAAGCTTCATGCCCTTCCAATGATCCGCCTCCGCCAGATGCTTAGTGAAAATATCTGCTGCTTGCTGATGGGTCTTCACTATCTCCAGCCGCACCTCCTTATCAAGGAGTCTCCTCACCCAATGCCACTTAGGCCTTATGTGTTTTGTCAGCCCATGCAAACAAGCATACTTGGCGAGATTCACAGCAGACTCATTGTCACAAAACACAACTGTCGGCTCCTCCTGACCAACTCCCAACTCCTCCAACAAACGCCTCAGCCACACCACTTCCTTGACCCCGTGGTCTAAGGCCATGTACTCAGTCTCACATGAGGACAATCCCACCTCATTCTGCTTCTTGCTGCGCCAGCTCACAGCACCACCTCCTGGCAAGCACACATAACCCCCAATGCTGGTGCCATCCGCTTTCACTGAGTTGAAGCTAGCGTCAGTATAGCAACTCAAGAGCATCTCTCCAATCTTCACATCTGCAGCACCTCTCTGCAACCGCTGCCTCACTCCACTGTACTCCAATCCCACTGATGCCGTAGTGCTCACATAGCGGACCAACCTCTTGGCCGCTTCCAGCTGCTCATGACTAGGGCGTGAGACCACACTAGCCAACCGTGATGTAGCAAATGCAATGTCAGGCTGTGTATGATTTGCAGCATAATTCAGCGACCCAACCATCGAATGAAACAGCTTCCTGTCACTCTCACCCACTACCTCCTCATCAGCACATGGCTCCACAGTAAACCCCGAAGGTAGTGGTGTTGCTGGCTTTCCCCCATCTTGCAGCCCATACTTCTCAGCCAGCCCCTCACAGTACTTCCTCTAGTGCAACCTCAGCACACCCTTTTCCACATCTCTCTCCACATGCATCCCCAGGTAGTACTTCACCTCACCCATCTTGGAACACTTGAACTGCATCTCCAGCATCTGCTCTGCGCTGTCCAGCAAAGCAGTTGATGCAGAAAAGAGAAGGATATCATCCACATACACCAAGAGCATGAGGATTTCATCCTTCTCCTACAGCAGGAACAGGCTGGGGTCACACTCACTCTTCTTGAAACCCCCAGCCAACAGCGCCTCCTCCAACTTGTGATACCATGCACGAGGCGCTTGCTTAAGGCCATAGATGGCCTTCTTCAGCCTGCAGACCCTGCCGCTCCCATCATCCAGTCCCTCTGGCTGCTTCATGTACACCTCCTCCAGAATGATCCCATTCAGATTGGCAGTCACAATGTCCATCTGCCGTATCTTCTATCCCAAGAGTGCAGCTATCGCCAACAGCACCCTCAGTGTTGTTCCTTTCCCCACAGGAGCAAACACCTCATCATAATCCTTCCCCTTTGTCTGCTGAAACCCCCGTGCCACAAGCCTAGACTTGTAGCGGGTCAGCTCCCCTTCAGGTCCATACTTGTGCCTGTAGATCATCTTGGAAGTGATTGCCTTCTTCCCAGGAGGCAAGTCACACAGGTCCCATGTCTGGTTCTCAATCAGGGACCCGAACTCCTCATCCTCACTCGCCTTCCACTTCTCCCCATTTGGTCCATTCAAGGCCTCCTCTCGATTCTTGGGCTCAGGGATTGGTGCCCAGTAGCAGTGAGCAATCTCATCTTCCTCAATCTGCTCAACCACACTCCCAGCCTGCACCACATTCTACTTGCCTCTTCCCCTACAGGTCAGCCTCACCGGAGGGCGCACATCCCTCCTAGGTCGCTCAGGCGGGTGTGGAACTCGAGGTGGAGACTCATGCTGCTGCTGCTGCTCCACTTCAGCTGCTCTCCCTTCCGCAGTCAACCCAGACATCTCCTCCTCAGACACTGCAACCTCCACCAGTCTTGAAGGCCGTTGCACCTCATCTGCCTCCACAATGAGCGGTGTAGATGGAAGCTTCTGTTGCTGCTGCTTCCATTCCTTGTAGTACAGGGACTCAAAAAACTTCACATCCCTTGACACTGTTAGCTTCTGGGTGGTCAAGTCCCATAGCAGCCACCCCTTGTGATCCTTTGCAATCCCCAAGTGCGCACCCCATCTTCCAGAAGCCTCCAACTTCCCCCTTTTCTCCTTAGGCACATGAAACACCACCATGCACCCAAATGCCCTCAGCATGTTCACAGCTGGAGCACTCCCATACCACTTGACATATGGGATCCACTCCTTATCCCCAACTGTAGCCAGCACCCTGTTCTTCACAAGGGCGACCTGGCTCAGTGCAGACACCCAAAACGGATCAGGCAGCCCTGCACGCCCAAGGAGAGTGCGTGCCCCCTCCTGCAGGGTCCTGTTGAACCTCTCAGCCACACCATTCTGCTGCGGGTTGTAGGGCACTGTCAGTTGATGTTGGATCCCCTTCCTCTTCAACTCCCCCTCAAAATCAGCTCCAATAAACTCCCCACCATTATCACTGCGGATCACCTTCACCTTGTGTCCGCATTCCCTCTGAGCTCTAGGCATCCACTCCTTAACGACAGCCGCTGCCACCTCCCCCTTGCTCTTCAAAGGGTAAACCCACACTGCCCGAGTGTGGTCATCCACAATTGTCAAGAAATAGCGGCTGCCTGAGAGGGAAGGGGCTCTTGTGGGCCCCACCACATCCATGTGCACAAGTGCAAGTGGGGTCTTGGCTGGTCCTGTAGTGCTGTTGAAGGGGAAGTTGGAGAACTTGGTCTTCAAGCATGTAGGGCAGCTCCCAATCTCCTTCACTCCCCCTTTCACCTCCAATCCTTTCAGGCTCCCATCCTTCACCAACTTCTGCAGCATAAGGAAGTTCACATGACACAGCCTCTCATGCCATGTCTCCCAATCGGCCTCTCCACTCCTTGATGAAGCCTTAGCCCATGCCGCGCTCGCATCCACACTAGCAAGCACCTCGCCATGTGTCTGCTGCTTCTGCACTTTCTTGACTGCTTCGAGGACCCCATCAGTTGGTGCAGTTGCATCTCCTCCTGCTGTTGCCTTTGCCGCTGCTGCCATTGCTGCTGTTAGAGTCTTCCCATTCCAAGGGATGATGGGCAGCTGCCATAGGTCCTTGATGCAGCTGGTCTCCTCTTCCAGACTCCACAGAACCTTTTTCCCAAGTTTAGCACGGCAGCTGGTTGGTCCAAAGGTCACTTCGGCCTTACTCTTCTGCAGCCGCCGCACAGAGAGAAGGTTAGCAGAACATCCCCAAGCCCCACAAGCTCCCCATTAGCTCCCTTAACCTTGGCATTCCCAACACCAATGACAGGGAGCAAAGAACCTGACACTACTACCACATACTTGATCTTCCCAGGGGGTTTTTACCTCATCCAGCAAATCTGCCCGTGGGGTCATGCGACTGGTGCAACCTGAATCAATCACCCAATGCGTGAGAGGGTGCATCACAACCTTTCCCACAGATCCCACATCATCTTCATGCCCATGCACATCCTCAACCATGAGAAACATCCCAGGATAGGTATTACCTTGTGCACCTTCACCTTGTGCACCTGAGTCTTGCACAGCGCCACCTTGTGCGCGTTCACCACTTGGCGGCTTCATGCCTGGAGGTGCCCATCCCTCCGGCCTGCTGAAGCACTTGAACCAAGGATGCCCGACCTTCTTGCAGTACCAGCAGATGCCCTCCATTCTGGTACTCCCCCTGCCACTAGAGCTCCCATGCCCCTCATTATAGTCACCTCGGCCTCTACCTCTGCCAAAGCTCCTCCTATGGCCTCGGCCTCTCCAACCCCCTCTTCCTCTACCGCGCCCTGCAGCTCCATACCCCTCAGCAGTCTTAGTAGACGCACCACCTCCCACATGGCGTCTGCGGAAGTCCTCCTGCAGAATCTGCTGCCTTAGCCACTCAGGTGTCCATTGATCTTGCTGAGAGTTGAGGGTGGGGATGAGGTTGTCCCAAGAGTTGTCCAACACCGAGATGATCTTGGTGCACTGCTGCAGCTGAGAAACGCTGCTGCCCGCTGCTGCCATCCTTGCATAGATGTCCTTGATCTTGTCAAGGACCGGCTTCACATCGTCCCCTAGTTGCATGGAGATGGCAGCAAGTTCCTTCTCGAGCACGATCACCATCGGGAGAGTGTTGGGCTGAATCACATCGCGTAGTAGTTTCCACGCCCTTAGACCCGAATCATCCGCTTCCAGAAGATCCTTGATGTGCTCGAACATCTCCTTGTTGACCGATTGAAGGATGAGGTCGAAAAGCACCGCGCTTTTCTCAATCCACCGTTCACGTGCTTCGCCTTCTTCCGGCATCATCTCTTCCCCAACAGCTATCTTCAGTAGCTTGTAGCGTTTGAAGGCACTCCTCATCCGACCGCTCCATTCCTCATAGTTGGAGCCATCCAAAGCTTCAACTTTTGATGGCGGCGGCTCACTTGTCTTCTCAGCTACAGCTCCTCTTCCATTAGCATCTCCTCCTCTCTCATTCATCTTCTCCTTGAGAAATGACGAATTTCAGCTCCCCTTTGCTGTCCACACTCAGCTCCCTCGATATTTTCACGAGTGTCGGCGTCCACGAAATTTCGGCAGAGTTTCCCCTTAGCGGAAGTCACATCCAACCTTTAGAACACCACTTAGGCACACCCACAGGCCATGGTGGGTCTAGAAGGGTCTTCAAACTTCTGTAGACTCCTCTCAATGTCCTTTATATCGCTCTGATACCAGTTGTTAGGATTAAGGACGGAGTCTAGGTGAACCTAGGAGCTAGAATTACTCAAAATATATATCCGAAATTCTGGACAGAAAAGTCGTCTTCACAAGAAACAACGTCGACGCAAAACTAGCCTTTGGAATGTCGCGAAACTCGAATATGTTGTAGCCTGTAATCTTAGCTACCGTTCTCAATTTGAATCACATTGATTGATGGAGTATTCACGACGCTATATCTTTCGACGCACTGGGGGGTAAGCTGTAGGAGGAGAACTTAACTCAATCTCAAAAGTTCAATCAAAGTTCAAGAATCTCACAAGGAAATTAGAGGAGCAAGAGAAAGGTTAGGATAGAAGAGAGGGATGAGAGGGAATGTCCTAAGAGAGTCCCCAACCAAGGAAACCCCATAAGCACAAAGATTCCCCCCCTATAGGAACCCCAACTTTGACATTTGTCCCTTCCCAACCAATCCATCCAAGTTGGCCACCCTTGCCAACCTAGCTTGGTTGTTCCCAACCAATTTGCAGCTGTTATAGTAGAGTGAAAAATTTCCCCAGCCCCAAAGGTCCCAAATCCATATTGAGTCACCCCACAACTTCACTTTGTAACCGCCACAATTGTAACGCAAGCTCATGAACTTTGAATCTTCATAGCTTTCGCGTTCTTGCTCCGATTGAAGCGATTCTTGTTGCGTCGGAAATATCTTTTCAAGATCTATCATCTCAAATACCTGCTCAGACAGAATAACACAAAACACATTCCCAAACTCCAGAACACACACCACACAAATTCTTTCACACACAGTCAAACCATACATGCGAATTGAAACAAGGGATGGGAGGCAGACAGAATGTGATAGCATATAGTGACATCACACAATAGTAATGAGGGAAGCAAAGGAACGAGAAGCTGAGGAACGGGAAGCAGAGGAACAGGAAGGAGAGGAACACAAAGCTGAACCGCATGCGCCGACAAGACCACTTCCTGCAAGTTCCTTCGCTGGGACCTCGTCGGTGCCATTCGTTGAAGAAGCTCCGCCTGCAAAAAAACCCAACGAGGAACCACCATCGACCGACGCCGAGCAGCTGAAGGTGCATCCCCGCGAACAGCAACAAAGCACGGTGATTGTCTCCACCTTCTACGCCAACTCGGACCTATATCGCCGATCTGTGGGGCACAAGGCAATCGAGGAGATTTGGCATCAACTGTTAGGGCATCCTAGAAATTCAAGACTATTCGACACGATTCATCCGAATGTCCTGGACAAAGATGCGCTTCAACCACTCAATGGACGTGAACTTTGACGACCTCGATGTACCTGCTTTATCTGTCTGGAAGTGGATCTTCCTTCTCAACCGTTCTCGTCGTATCACAACCCGAGCGCACCAGAGTACGCTCCACTCGAAAAGGTCTGCAGTGATATACTGTATATCCTGCGAGAAGTCGGCCGGGCTGACCTGAACTATGTTATTACATTCGTCGATGCCGCGACACGATACACCTGTCATCTTAACTTACCGTAACGAGACCTCGCCTTCCCTGCCTTCGTCGCATGGCTCAATGCAGCAGGGGTGGGAGACACGAAGCTTAAAATTTTCAGTTAGTCGGGGCGATGGAATATCAGTCACAGCGATTCAAGGACTACCTTGCTAAGAGGGGAATCAAGAGGCTCGTCACCCTCCCATACGCTCACCAACAGAATGGTGTAGCAGAGAGGATGGATGGAACCCTCCAAAACACCATGAGGAAGTTGCTGATTGGGATGCGTCTGCCCAACTCACAGTGGCTAGAGGCGATGAATCACGCCTTCATGCTGCAGAATCTTTTGTCCTCAAGCTCCCTGCGAAACAACTCATCACTGCATCTATTGTGGACAGGGAAGCAGGGCAGCACAAAATTGTTACGAGTGTTTGGCTGCATGGTACAGTACCGTCTGCATACTGCACGAGCTGGACGATTTTCGCAGTGGGGGGGGTCTACACCTCGGTGTGGAAAAACACTACAAGGCCTGTAAAATCTTCGACATGGAAGATAAGGAAACAGTACCAGCACGTGATGTCATTTTCTACAAGAACCTCACCCTCAACCATTACCTGGAGAACATCGCAGCCAACCGGGACCCATCCGGTGGCTTCGCTGGAGCACGCGCGTTTGCTTCGACCGAAGAAGAAGCTGACCTGGAGGAGCATAATATCCTCGACGCGTCAGCAGCTGCAGGACCACTACCCTACTGCTCCGTCCACATGCCGATGGATGACGAAAACCCTTGCAAAAGCAGGAATGCCGACGCCAACTACCATTTCACCGACACTGGCTACGTAACACCCCATAGCTTCGACACCAACATTTCAAAACGGGTTGGACCAGGCTTCATACCTGATCCTGAAGCGGGAGACGAAGCAGCCTAGCCCGAGGATCCGATACTTCCCCGATACACCGAGACTGGTCTGCAAATCCTCGGCCTTGTACCAGCCGTGCACCCTCCTCAGCCACCGCCAGTCGAAGAGCCGAAGACTGTCAAGCGCGCGCTACAAGGACCACACAGGGAGAAATGTGGGGAAGCAAAGGATCGAGAGCTAGCAGCACTACACGAACGCAACACTTGGAAGCTGATTCCGATTTCTCAAACCTAAGGGAAACACATTCTCTCGAGGAAATGGCTCTTTGGAGTGAAGACTAAGGAAGATGGGACCAGCGAACGCTTCAAGTCACGATGGGTGATTCGCGGATTCGACCAGCAGTACGGCAGTGAATACACCGAGACATTTGCTCCAGTTAGCCGCCACACTTCCCTTCGAATTCTCCTCGCCGTCGCCGCCGCTCGCCGCCTTCCTCTACGACAAATCAACGTCGCCACTGCCTTCCTGTACGCCCCAGTCGACACAGACATCTTCGTCGGGCAACCCCACGCCTATGTTGACTATCCAATGCTGGTCTGCCAGATGCTCAAATCCCTCTACAGGATCAAAGAGGCCCCGCGCCAGTGGCAGCAGTACCTGCACTGCATCCTCACCGACATGGGCTTTGCCTAACTACCACACGACCAGGGCATGTACCGCCTGTCACGCAGCGGTGACTATGTCTTGCTGATCGTCTACACGGACGACCTGCTCTACATCGGCTCCACCAGTTCCATCACGGTCTGGTTTGAAGGCGAGCTGGAACTCCAGCTCACAATCACGGTGTCACCGATCGTGACACAATACCTTGGCCTCAACGTTACTGACAGCCCCGACACCATCCACCTCTCTGCCTTGAAGTACCCCGACACCATCACTCGCAGATTCAATATGTCCCCCTACGTGCCGCTAGCACCTGCGTTGTCCATCTCGCTACTCGCACGAGCCGGAATCCAGGAGTACCTGCAAAAGCTAGGCTCCCTGCTGTTTGCCGCAGTCACCTGCCGACCTGATCTCTCCTACGCCGCTAGCCAGCTCGCTACATACCTTTAGCGATCCGAAAGGGGGAACCTGAAGGAACTCAATCATGCGCTCCACTACTTCGTCTCGACCCCGATGATCGGCCTGACCTACCACAAGAACACTGCTACCAAGACTGAACTTATCGGCTATGTCGATGCCGATCACGCCTGTGATATGGACAGCCATCGCTCACGCACCAGCTACATCTACCGCCTGGAACTTATCGGGACTATTTCCTGGCACTCGGGAAAGCAGGAACTAATCGATCTCTCATTTTCTGAAACTGAATATATCGCTCTCTGCATAGCCACAAAGGAAGGACTGTACCTGCACGGGTTTCTCGATGAAGCAAAGATTGCAGAGTTACCAAGATTCTCTCACTTTTGCGACAACCAATGAGCAATCAGAATCGCCAACGAAAATAAATCCGCGAACAGGACGAAGCACATCTCACTTCGTTACTTCTTCATGAAGGACGAGATCGAGCAAGGACGCCTTCAATTGCTCTATTGCCCCACCACCGAGATGGCAGCCAAATACTTGACCAAGAAGTTGATGAAGGCCAAGTTCCAATACTACTTGCTGCTGACTAGACTGCAACACGTCAGCAACCTCGACCACATCGACACTCCAGGAATCAAGGAGGGTGTTGCAAATGATAAAGGGACTTCAAGACATTTCCGGAGTCTCGCATGAGTGTTCACATAGGCGAAGACTACAACAAGGAGGAGTACCGAGTTAACACCGCTACAGTACCACCGACGATTCACACAGGCTGACAACACCTCGCAGAGGTTACGAATGGGCAACGGTCGCAGACCATTGACCGTGAAACCTAACAGTCAGAATCGGAAGAGTCAAGAGTCAGTGCGACAGTAAGGACAAATAACCATCCCGATATTACAGTACGGGTGGTTACCCAAGTCACCTTATCGAGTCGTAAAAGGGAATGTACCCCTTGAAGTGCACAAACAGTTAGACTCTTCATATTCTCTTGTATTATTATATGAAACATTGCATCCCTTTGCTATAATCAATCACTTGTTCTCACGTACCAGCACATGGTTCAACTCAAGACTTCCGTTGTGCTATCAAGCACTCTGTTACAAGGACTTAACCTTCTGAAAAGATTCTTGGGCTAAACTCAGCCCAACAGTACGGACCATATCTGGGATGGACTAATCGGACGGTTCTGATTACCACTTAAATTTTCCTGCCATAAATCTTGGCCAATGGCGAGCGACCGACATGGTCGGTGGCCAATGGCGCAATGCCATGTCAGCGTGCCTCTCTGCGTACTGGTAGTTTGGACTCCACATTGTCGGCTGAGATGGAGGGCAGGCGACGTGGCGACAAACCCCCCACTTTGTGGACTGGCCACGTCCACCTCATTTGCGCGTTGTCTGCGTGGATGGTGTGGAGTGGTCTTTTAAGGTTTTGTCTGTATAACCTTTCTCCAGGTGTTGTGTACAGGGACTTGTTATGATAATCTCCGGATAAGAGTGGAGTAATGCAATATTGAGGTCGTGATTAAAGTGTGTTGGGTA